GTTGCAAAGCCTCCTTTGAGGAATGTATTGAGAACTTCTCCCACATTAAAAATATTCTCTCTCTCTCCTTCCCTCCCGCCCCTCTTCCTCTAGAATGAACCACAAACTCTGCACCAGTATTGTAGTCACAGAATTAATTATACAAGATTGATCTTTGGTCATTATCTATTGAAACGAAGCTTTCACTTGTTACAGTGAACATTATCCTGAGTTTTGGTGGCTCAAGCCACTTGTTACCAGTAAAAGACTTTTTGATCCAGAAATGTGATTATAACATGGGAGTTCAGCTGATGGTTTCTGACAACTTACTGGATTTTGTTTTTCAAGAAGACGATAGTTGGTTTTGCTTATTAGGAAATGATAATATTTCAGCTGTTTATCTGTGCCCTGCAGCTGGCAGAGGAATGTAGTACACTCGTCGTGAATTTGTGTCTGGAACCCTGAAAACGCACACACTTAGCATTTCCAAAAGAGGTGGGGAAAAAATATATATATAATATAAATATAAATATAAATATATATTTATATTTTCATATATATATATTTTTAATCATTTTGTTTGGTCAGGACAGTGCCTCAATTTTATAGTTACTATTTATCTTTTTCAAAACGTGGTCCTTCCTAATAAGTAGGGGGGAAAAGTCATAAGGAGGGCATTCAGCCCTCTGAGAATATTACAGTTAACACTAGAATTGCAGCTCTATAAGGCTCGGAACTTTGTTTTGTTCCTGCATCTCCAGTGCCTAAAGTAGTGACTGTCACCCCAAAATATTTGTCAAATAATGAATCTCCACCACAGTGAACTTCTCATAATAGGTGAATGCAGCCACGCATTTTGAACTCTCGCCTTGTCTTTATTTTCGTTTATAGGTGACTTCAACAGCAAAGTTTTTAGACAACCTGAGGTTTGGGCTCCTGTTCAGGGAGTAAGACCAAGCTACAGTAGTTTTATTTAGCTGATAAATGCTTGAGTTTTGATGAACGCTCGTGATTAAATCAGCTTCCCACCATGGAATAACCCTACCCAACATGCCAGAGAATCCTAGTTTGGGAAAGTCGTATTATCATCCCTCAGATATCTGAAAAGTTACTAAGCATAAACGAGGAAACACTAAAAAGCTGAAAAACATGCCCCAAAAAGTGACATTTGTGAAGCTACTTCTTAAAGTTTAACATCTCTGAATTATTTTAATATTGCCTCAATACTCAAGTTTGCTGTGAATGTTTCTTAATGTATAGTGCATGTGTAAGAAAAGCCATTTCTTTTACATACAGTGACAATAAAAAAATCCTTTAAAATTATTCAATGTTGCCTTTTTAAAAGTTTTGAACTCTTAATTATCTTGCATTTGAAAGTGAGACAAGACTATGTAAAAAATATTCCATTGTTCTTTTGAAGTTAAAATATACCCTAGCCAAAAAAAGTGCAACTTTAGCTGCCCCCACCCCCACATTTTAGGAGGCCTGGCCTGAGCCTCTTAGTTTTTCTCATGATTAGTTTTTGTAGTTTGGATTTTTTGTTTGTTTGTTACAGGAATGGTCCAAATTGGTGTGCCTCGTTGCCCTTGTTGAAGCTGATGTAGGTGGCATACAAATGATCACAGAAACTGGTCCATATAGGTGTCCATTCTTTCTTGGCCTTCTCAGGGCTTCCATGCCTGTCCCCTTAGTCATTATCTCATTATCTTCCAGAAAGGGACTTTAGCTCTGTTAGGTTCCCCTCTCTAATGCAGCTGCACAGTGATATCCAATATTATAGTATGTAATATTCAAGTATATTGATTTTTTAAATTCTCTTTGGGTTTTCTCTTAGAATGGATAAAATCTTATCCAGTATACATGACTGTAAAAATGTTACCTTTTATTTACCCTCCTTGGAAATGGAACTTAAGGGTGATTAGTGAGCCCCAACCCCACCCCACTGCCCTGGCTGTCCATTAGTACTTAATGTGTTTAAGAATCCCTTGTAATTAGATACTTTAGGTTGCTTAGATTTAACATAACCACTTTACATTCTATCTTTTCAAATATATGAATGTTCAGTGTCACCCAAACACAACTGCTCTTACTTTCTGAGGTATACATGACTTATATTATGCATTGCCTGCTGGTATCATGGGAAGGTAGCTTGTGGCATCAGCAAGCTGCTTTCAGACTCACCTCTACATGACCTTTATCTTGCAAATAGTCTTAATAAGCATTATCAGTTTAAAAGTTTTGTTGGTAATGTTTCACAGTGACATACTTGTTCTCAACCCAGTGATTGTGGTTATTGAGAAGAAGAGTTTTTGCCAGCATTGAAGCAGACCTGCCTAAATTTTTTGTTGTTGAATCTGCCTGTTGTTTGGTCCATCTCTTTGAACTTTACACTTGTGGGAACTTCACATATACACTTCTGTATGAATGAACTTCTCATGTCTTTGACAGAATAAATCACCAAGTAATTTCTAAAACATGTCAGATGATTCTTATAGATGTAGTGATTTCCGTGAATTAAATGTAGCACCATCAATTCATTCTTATTCCAGACTTGATCTGTTTCTTGAATTTAATTTTATTTCCCCCCTAATTACCTGCTAGACTTACGACTACTTTGGAAGCACCTTTAAAGCCAGCATATCATAGCTGGCATTGTTTCCTTGGAACCTACCCTTTGCTTCTTAACGATACTGTCCTTTACCTTTCACCACAGGCCTTACAATCTTTGACAACTTGCTCTGCCTTTTTTTGTGTGTCCATTCCTAATCAGTAACCAAATTTAGGCAATTAATGCTCTGACTGACTTTGGTGTCTTCCTCTGCATTTTCTCTCTTGTTGAGATATTGGGCTCTTAGCATTTCTTGTTAGGAACATCCTAACTAACTTTCCTCTCCAAACCATCCTATTTGCTGCTTTCTACTGTTGAACGCCACCAGTTGCATATTATTATTCCCCTGCTCACAAAGCTTTTGGTTTCCCACCATTGAATGAAATCTAGACTCCTTAGCCTGGCATTTCAAGGTCCATAGTGTCTTGCCTTTTTACTCTTCCTGAATATTCTCTTGATATTCTGACCTAGTCTCTGTTTCTCAGAAATGTTGTGATGTCTTCCTACCGTGGTATTAATAGCCCTCCTCTCTTGAATTACGTCCATCCCTTTCTCTTTCCTTAACTCCCACCCAGTCTATAAGATCCACTGGAAATTCTCCATCTCCTGCGAAGCCTCCCTGGGCTACCCCCTTCTGATTTCTGAGCACATGCATGTCATTGGACAATTAACCTTGTAGTACTCTGACACTTAACTTACAGTGAGCTATGTCACATCATTTTTTATATGTACAGTAGTCCCTCCTTACCCTCAGTTTGTTATTCATGGTCTCAGTTACCCGGGGTCAACCACAGTCTGACAATATTAAATGGAAAACCCCAGAAATAAATAATTCATAAGTTTTAAATTGCATGCCGATGAGCATAGCATGATGAAATCTCGCTTTTGTCCAGTGTATCCATGCTGTATACGCCACTTCCCCCATAGTCACTGAGTAGCTGTCTTGGTTATTAGATCTAGTATTGCGGTATCACAGTGCTTATGTTCAAGCCACTCTTATTTTACCTAGTAATGGCCCCAAAGCATAAGAGTAGTGATGCTGGCAATTCGGATATGCCAAAGAGAAGCCACAGAGTGCTCCCTTTAAGTGTAAAAGTATGTGTGTATTGGAAAAAAAACAGTATACGAGGTGTGATTAAACAATACAGCGAATTTTTAAATTAAAAAATATTATTACAGTAAAAGACACATTGCCATTAATTCCCCCTCAAAATACTTCCCCTCTCTTTGAGCACACTTATCACATAGTTTTTGCCACTTTCTGAAGCAGTTCTGGAAGTCCTCTTTTGTGAGTGTCTTTAATTGTGCTGTCGTGGCTGCCTCGATTTTCTGAATTGATTGAAAATGTGCACCTTTCATGGTCATTTTGACTTTGGGGAAGAGTTAGAAGTTTCATGGTGACAGATCCAGTGAATAAGGTGGATGAGGACACACTGTCATGTTTTTATTTGACAGAAATTGTTATACTAGAAGTGATGTGTGACACAGAGCCTTTCTGTTGTGATCAAACAATATGGTGAATGCTGCTGCCGACTGCCACCCAACAGACAGGCAGGGATCTTCAATATGGGAAGCGGTGCATCGAACCTTAGTAACAGTGTGTGACAAGTTTAAACTTGTTCGGTGCAGTCAGTCAGGTGTGAACTATGGTTGAGAGGGTATGTTTTAAAGTGTGCCTTAAATCATCCTCCATCATGCCACAGGTTGTGACACAGAACGCTCTGTGTCACACATTGCTTCTGGTTTACGGCAATTTCTGTCAAATAAAAACATTACGGTGTGTCCTCATCCACCTTATTCACCGGATCTGACACCTGGCACCTGCGACTCCTGGCTCTTCCCCAAAGTTGAAATGATGTAGGACATGGAGGTAGCCACAACAGTGCAACTAAAGACACTCACGAAAGAGGACTTTCAGAACTGCTTCAGAAAATGGCAAGAACAATGGGGATAAGTGTGTTAGAAGGGAGGGGGAGTGTTTTTGAAGGGGATTAATGGCAGTGTGGCTTTTATTGTAATAAATTTTTTAAACTTAAACATTCACTGTATTTTTTTTATCACACCTGGTATACAGGGTTTGGTACTAACTGTGGTTTCAGGCATCCACTTGGACTTGGACTATATCACTCTCGGATAAGGGGACTACTGAAGTACGTTCTAAGTAGAATGTGCCTTCACATATACTATTTCATGTGGTTCTTTTGTTTGTTTGTTTATAACAGCTAAGGTCAAAGAGACCTAACTTCTGTTCTTTTTAAACAAACCTTTATTCTAAAGTAAAATTCATAAAAATATAATGTACCTATAAACATAATTTTTAAAAATCGACAATAACCTTACAATAGTAGAGAGGAGAAAAGGAAAAAAATTATAGAATGTATTTCAGTATTCAAATACTTAGCAACAGGGCTGTGCGGGAGGCGTTTGCTGCTGCCTGGCGGTCCCTGTGGCCTCGGTCCCGGCAAGCCAGACATGAAGATCACGAGGCAGAAACACGCCAAGAAGCATCTCGGCTTCTTTCGCAACAATTTCGGGGTCCGCGAGCCGTACCAGATCCTGCTGGACGGTACCTTCTGTCAGGCGGCGCTGCGGGGCCGCATCCAGCTGCGGGAGCAGCTGCCCCACTACCTCATGGGGGAGACACAGCTGTGCACCACCAGGTGTGTGTTAAAAGAGTTAGAAACGTTGGGAAAGGACTTATATGGGGCAAAACTGATTGCACAAAAATGCCAGGTTCGAAATTGCTCCCATTTCAAGAATGCAGTGAATGGATCCGAATGTCTGCTTTCTATGGTTGAAGAGGGAATTCCTCATCATTATTTTGGGGCATCACAGGATCAGAATTTGTCTATGAAAGTAAAGAAAAAGCCCGGAGTTCCTCTTATGTTTATTATTCAGAACACTATAGTCTTGGACAAACCTTCTCCCAAAACAATTGCCTTTGTCAAATACTTAGCAAAAGTTATACACTAGCAAGAAAAGGTACTAGAGATTTACAAATCCCCCAATTTTCCTGCTGTACTGCTTTGTACATTATTCAACAACTTAAGATCAATCTTAATACTTAATGTGGTTTGTATTTGAAGTTGCAAATTATGAAAGCTTTATTTCCTTTCCAGTGTAGTGTGTGGTTAATATGACATGAGTTAAACAAAATTTAAATTAAAAGTTACTGGGAGCCAAAAATACTACTTATAAAATAGTTAGAACACTATTATTGCATGGTTCGCCTTCCTTTTATGGTTTTTACTCAGTTAAAAAATAAGTTTCTGGAGGTTATGGGAATGTGCTATGTTGACTGACTTCTTACAGGATTTTGACAATTTTGTACAGTCTTGTTCACATATGTGATTTCATGTCATGGAAACAGTCGTCCCAAAAGGATGGATTGTCTGCAAATACTGAGAGAGATCTTTACAAAGGAGTCAGATTGATTAGGTCTTTTATTTCTGTAAAGGTCAGATTGTTGCCTAGTCGTGACAAGAATTCTTTGTGTTTAGACTATACCCACCCCCCATTTTTTACTTACATATAAAAGATCCGTTGGTAGAAGCCAATTATGTATACAAAACACTTTAAACTACCAAGTCCAAGCCTAGATCTCCTGTAATCTTAGTTTTTTAAAGTACTTGTTTTGTGGCAAAGGTTTACCTGAGAAGCCATCAGAATGATGCTTTATTGATTGAGAAAAACTTTTAAATAGGAGTATATGTATGTTCCTGGTAAGTTCTGTCTGTACAGTGCTGTGGTTTCTAAAGGCGTGCTGAGGCCTGACCAGGCCCATTTTATGCAATTAAACATTTCTAAAATCTGTGGTTGACTAAATAGTCCACATTGTAACAATTTTAAAAATAATGTATTATCCTGGCCTTCTAACTTGTAGAGAAAAGTCTTGTGGGGAGATATAAGTGGCTTAACTTGATTCTTAGGGTATTTGTCATTGTAAAACTATTGATTTTTCTTTTGCAGATTTTCTTGTGAAACCTTCTAGTAGAAAAATTTCTTGGGACAAACTTCATTTGGTGAGTTTGGTTTTTTGGTCTTCCCTACTACTCTTTGTGTGCTATTTTGAGGCAGCTAAAACAAATTTACAGATTAATTTTGAGGGCCTGTTTTTCCATGTACCAATTACTTAGATGAGCTCTTATGTTTTCACTTCAATGTTAAATTTTAAATATGGTGTTTTTTTCCCTGTGACTCAAACAAGATTGCTTTTTCGATATATAATTGTGCCATAATGCAATATGCTGTGCCTGGAAATTTGTATTTAAATTGAGATTAAATGAGCTGTAGCCCTAATCTTTTGTTAAAAGTAGACAACCCTTAACAATGGGGAGTTCTTTTAAATTGCAACTTGATTCTTGTTTTGAATTTTCTTAAATTGTTATGTATTTATATGAAAACCAAGGTCTCATTACTGGACTTAGTGGTGTTAATATGATGTTTAACTAGAAAACTAGTTCTAAAATCTTTTTAGTTATGTCCTCTGTGTGGATATATTAATCCTAGTCCTGTCCTTTCCATAGACCTGTGTGTATGTTACTACCTAAGTCTTTATTACTGCCTCTTGTTTCTGCCATCTGTTTAATTTATGAAATTATAATCTAATATTATTGAAAAGAGAAGTTGTTGCTTTGGTTTTAACTTTCTAGATCCAAATCATTCCCTTGTTCCAGAACCTTTAACATGGCATTTTAGGCTTTTCACAAGTGGGCTTTAAACACATCTGCAACTAGTCACTCGTTTTCCCATCCACCTACAGCAATTTTGCTGTAGCCATACTGGCCTTACTGTCCCTCACATACTCTGCGATGTGCTGCCTTTTTTTTTTTTTTTTTTTTTTGGTTTCATTCTTCAGCTGTGTGGCTCCTTTCCCCGCTTTGTCTCCGTAGCTCACAACCTGGCTGGTCCAACTATTAAAAGCTCGAGTGTTCCAGAAAGCCTTCCTTGAGTCCCCAGATCAGAATCCATTTCTCTGTCTTTTTAGTTATCTGCTTGTTGCCCCACAGGGTTATGAGCACCTTGAAGGCAAGAACTATCCTCATATTTGAAACTTGAATTCACATCAACATTCCCTGAGTCCTGGGATACCAGTGTCTTCTCACTCTAATTTCATTTTAATAAGGATTTTTGTTGTTTGGGTTTTTTGTTTTGTGGCGGGGGGGGGGGGGTATTAAGAATAAGGGAGAAGAATAGATTCTGTGGTTCTAATAGGGATTAGTTAACATAATCTTGTTGATTCAGGGTCTTGGTTTTTTTCTATCTTTCTATGTAGTGAAGGATTTATATAGTGTGTGTGTGTGTGTGTGTGTGTGTGTGTGTGTGTGTGTGTGTGTGTGTATATATATGTATATATATATAAAACCTGTGTCCTTGTACTCCAAGTTGCTCAGTCTTTCACTTGCTTGAGTTACTGTTTGCAAGTGTAAGTTTTAGTTATTGAGTAAGGCATTGAGTAATCTTAGCAAGTGTCTGAAAGATGAGATACCATGTTCATTAGGAAGATTAAATGGTATTTTACTTTTATAAAAATTTCTCAGATGTCACATCCATGGGGTGGTACTGATGGTGGAGCCAAGAGAAGTCTGCAGGTCCCAGCTGTCAAATCTCATACATATATTAAGACAAAAGAAATCATTTAACTCTGAAGATTGGAATAAGAATCTTATCCTTAATTTGGCCCAGTAGGTCACATATTAGACCTTTAGAGAAGGAAATATAATCCTAATGTATTACTTGGTTCTGCAGTATTTAATTTTTACATGGTTATAATAACAAATGTTTATGGATTTTTAACTTTAGAATAATTATTAATTTTAGATAAGGCACCTAAAACTTATATTTGCAAAACAGAATGAAAAAGTGTTATATTCTTATCTGAAGAAACATGGTCAAGGTTTGGAGGGAAAAAGGTGAGATTATTAAATTAATTTTGATGCCAGGAAACATAATTTAAATTAATATAATATGGGTGCCAGGTTAAAATAGACTAAAGCGATATGACAGTTAGATCCCATTTGTGATCCTAGACTGGATTCTTTATAGAGGTAAAAAAAAAATAGTTATAAAGAGTATAATTGGGTCATTTGACCAAATTGGAATATAATAGGTAGATTAAAGTACTGTATCAATGTTAAATTTTCTGAATTTGAAAACTAGTGCTGTGGTTATATATGAGATTATTTTTGTTCTTAGGAAGTGTATACTGAAGTAAGTAGTAAGGGGTAAATACAACTCTTTTTTAAAAGGTTCAGAAAAAATAAGTAACTGTGTGGGTGCATGTACGCACACACACACATGTATATGTGCATGTGTGTATGTATATGTATACACATATATATTTACACACACACACACACACACAGAGACAATCGTGGGAACTATTCTATCCAAAGAGGACAATGGTGGAAACTATCCTATCCAAATTCTTTGTATGTAATGGACTATATTACTTAATGATTTAAAAAGTGCTTGTTTCTATATGCCAGTAACTATACTAAGCACAATATATACATTATATTTTAATCCTCGCAACTCTTTGTTGCAGCTGTTACTCTTGTTTTACAAACAAAGAACAGAGGCTCAGAGAGCTAGCATGACTTGCCCTCCAGGTCATATGGCAGACTCAGGACTTATATATCATCTGCTCTCAGACCCATTGCTCTACATTCTTGATTGTTTTCTTGAAAGAGATCATTATCTTCACATTCTGTCTTAGGTTAAATGAAAATTCTTCATGCAATATTATTTTGAGTTTCTTTTTCAAAAACTTTTGTAGAAAAGTTTATTTTCCTAATTACAAATGTAAAGTAATTCTAAAAGCATAAAAACTCAAAGTCCTTACTCCTATTTTGTCAACAATCATTGTGTCATTTTTCTGTACATGTAGAAACATGCTTCATAAGTAATACAAGTTATTCATATGCATATTTTTATGTTAACCTTTTAAATTACAGAACATTAAAACTTTGACCAAGTTGATAACTGTGTGTTGGTGAATTATTTTTCATAAATATAAGAAAAAGTATATGTAGTCTTTGGCAATAATGATCATATTCTTCTCAAAAAAGTGTGTATCTTTTCACCAGTAAATTTATTTTCACAAATCGTGCAGAAATAATGCCTTGTGCAGAGATGGGCAAAGATGGTTATTTTGGCTTTTTTGATTGTAATAGAAAAATGGAAATAACCTCAATGTCTCAGCAATTGATGAATGGTTAAGTTATGGTATATGATAATATAATGGAATACTGAACTGCTATCTGAAAGTATGTACTGACACAAGAAGGATTTGATAACATTAATGGAAGAAAAAAGTTGTAGAACAATGAATACAGTATGACCCTCCCCCTCATTTTTTTGGTAGATTGTGTGTCTTGTATATGCACAGACAAGTATCTGGACAGAATTATAAATTAGTTAACAGTGGTTGTACTTATGTGTAGGTAAAGGGCAGCAGTGAATGAGAAGGGAACTCCTCCTTACTTTAAAAAATAACAGATTTGAGATATAACTTGGATAGTTTACATTTGACTCATTTAAAGTATAAAGTTCAATGGCTCAGTATGTTCACGGTGTGTAACCATTACCACAGTCAATTTTAGAGCATTTTATCACTTCAAAAAGAAACTCCATTCCCCTTATCTATCCAACCTCCTTACCTTTCATCTCCCCCAGACCTAAGTAACCACTAATTCACTTTCTATATCTATAGATGACCCTGTTCTGGACATTTCGTATAATGATGTGGTCTTTTGTGATTGGCTTCTTTTATTTAGCATAATGTGTCCAAGGTTGATCCACATTGAAGCATATATCAGTACTTCATTCCTTTTCATGGCTTAATATTAATATTCCATTTTTGGATATACAACATTTTATTTATCCATTCATTTGTCAATGGACATTTGGGTTATTTCCATCTTTTGACTATTTTGAATAATGCTGTTATAAACATTTGTGTCCCAAGATTT